CAGGCGCCCCAAGCACTGGGTTTTATAAACAACTGATGGATTATTGAACTCTACATCTGATATTAATGATGTACTATATGTTGGCTAATTGAATTTAAATAAAAAAAAAAACACTGGAATTAAAAGGAACTTCAAAAATTAAAAAAAAAAAAACCTCAAATGATCCAATCTAGCTTGCACGCATGCAAGCGTGTGTGTGCATGTGTGCATGCGCGCGCGCACACACACACACAATCTAGCTGTGATAACCATCCAATCCTATGCCTTCCTCTGGACGCTAGATCATCAGGATGCACCAGCTAAGCTCCCAGCTGGCAAAATTTAATTTAAAAAAAAAATTTTAAACAGGGGCACCTGGGTGGCTCAGTCGTAAGCGTCTGCCTCTGGCTCAGGTCACGATCCCCCAGGGTCCTGGGATCAAGCCCCATGTCCAGCTAGCTCCCTGCTTGGCGGGAAGCCTGCTTCTTCCTCTCCCACTCCCCCTGCTTGTGTTCCCTCTCTCACTGTCAAATAAATAAATAAAATCTTAAAAAGAAAAAAATTTTTAAACAATCCCATTCCACCCAATTTTCATCAAGAGGGCGCCTGGGTGGCTCAGTCGGTTGGGCGACTGCCTTCGGCTCAGGTCATGATCCTGGAGTCCCGGGATCGAGTCCCGCATCGGGCTCCCTGCTCAGCGGGGAGTCTGCTTCTCCCTCTGACCCTCTTCCCTCTCGTGCTCTCTATCTCTCATTCTCTCTCTCTCAAATAAATAAATAAAATCTTAAAAAGAAAAAGAAAGCCTTAAAAAAACATTTAAATTCATTGATAATAAATCCCCCCCCCCACTTCTCATCACCGGCGCGGCTCCTGGGCCTCACTCCTTATTCCCCAAGTGCTTGGGTCTCATCTGGACTCATTCATTGAAACGGAATCTCTTGGGGGTGTCAGATTTTCAAACCTCCAGGAGATTCCCAAGGACAGCCAAGGGCGAGAACCAGTTAGAGAGAAATATACTGAGGATGCCCTTCAGTGAAGGTCGAGAATCGAGGTGGAGAAAGACACGGGGAGCCCCATACAGTGGTCAGGGGCCCGAGGGGGCGCCCTGAGGTGCCACTTCCTCCCTGAGCTCTGACAGAGCTGCTGGAAGAAACAGGGTGGCTGGGAGCCTCAGGCCTGCACTGGCCAAGACAGCCAGGACCAGTGTACGCCTCTGCCGGCCACCGCCTGCATCTTCTGAGGACCCAGACACCTTTTTGGCGGCCTGCATTTCGGCCATGCTGACCGTGGCCTTGAAGGGGTGGGGATGCCTGATGCAGTGGTTAATTTCTTAACTCTCATCGCAATTCGGTTCACAGGAGACTCCCTGAATGTCTTTATCCATCACAGATGGTTTGGGAAGATGATAAATTAATATCGTTCAAATAGAGACACGGCTGGAATGGTCAAATAGCACCGTCTTCTCTGCGGGCCCCAAAGAGAAAAAGTGCCCCTGAGTCCATAAAGAAGACAAATGGTAAACAAAACCGCCTATCTTTTGACAGATTCCAGGACGAGTATCGTTCACCAACCATTCTGCGGAGAAAAGGGAGAGATTCATCTCATTGGACTTTGTATAGGACAACAGCCCGCGCCATAATGAGGCCTTCCCAGTGCTGGGAAATCGCGCTGAATAGGCGCGAGCTGCAGCCTCCTGCGTCCCTGGGCACGTTTATTACAGCCCTTTGTATGCACCAGCCCGGCCAGCCCCGGGTTGGTTCTAAACCAGGGGAGGGGAGAAAGAACCCAACGAATTTGTTGCTATGAAACTTCCCCAATAACGTTTGGAATCCAATGCCCTTGCTCCAAGCTGTTCTTGTCTGGGTCCACCCCTGCTCTAAATTGAGCAAGGTCGGGAGCCAGCCAATCGCCAGCAGGGCCTGGGTGGCCTCAGCCCCCCGCCTGGGGCTCCTCCCCAAGCCCTGGGAAGTCAAGGGTAAAGGGGGCCCCAGTGGCCATTCCCAAGCACCCTCAGGTCAACTGCCAACTTGAGTCAAGAGCCTCTGCCAGTTGTCCCAGTTCCCCAGTGAAATGCCTCTGAAACAGAGCAAAGAAGGACATAACTGAAGGCTACAGTTGGGCTCTCCCGAGGTCAGCCCCAGGAGGCCGGGGCCTGGGATGGCTGCATGCCTAGGGGACTGCAGAAGCCTCTGAGCGCAACCCACCAGAGATCAAAATGCTGGGGCCAAAAGCTTCCAGCAAAGGAGCCGTTTCCTGAAACCGACCCACCCTGGGAAGACAAGGCAGACGGACGGTCTCCGTGGGGGTGGGGTGGGGACAGAGAGACTCCCATCTGAAGACCTCAAGGGTACACAGCCTTCTCCGCTGGCGTCTGACCTCCTACAGCTGGTCTCCCCCCGCCCCCCAAGATCTCAGGGGCTCCATTGGATGGGAAATGTCCCATGAGGACACAGAGGATTCAGAGAGTTCCCACTCGTCCCGAGGGGTTGCCACCAGAAAAAAGAGAGCAAAGGGGAAAGATCTAGAACTTTCTGCACCGAAGAAACGGCAGGACCTTTCAGGTCACGTTCCTCCTGCTCACCAATCAGAGAACAGATCGTTCGGGCAGTGTCTTTCCTCGCCAATCAGGACACAGGACCCGCCAGGTGGTAGGGTCTTTCCTCGCCAATCAGGAC